CTCCATCATCACAGTGATGGGCTCATCCAAGGTGGCACAGTGACAGGCTCCCCTGGCACAACGCAATGAAGGGCTCCAAGAAGAGCTGGGCAGCGCGATGAAGGACTCCTCCAGGGCAGTGAGGTGAACAGATCCTCTCAAGTGGCGCAGTAAAGGGCTCCAACAAGAGCTGGGTGGCACAACGAAGGACTCCTTGGTGGCAGTGCAGTGAAGGGCTCCTCTGGCGTGGCACCCTAAAGGGATCCTGTGTGGCGGTGTGTTGAAGGGCTCCAAGAAAACCTGGGCAGTGTGATGAAGGGCTCCCTCTGGGGTGGTGTGGTGAACAGCTTCTCCTAGGTGGTGCAGTGAAGGGCTTCTCCAGGGTGGCACGGTGAGCAGCTTTTCCTTGGTGGCATGGTGAAGAGATTCTTCAGGATGGTGCAGTGAAGGGCTTCTCTGAGGCAGAGCCAAGCGAGCCAAATACCTAGCCAACCTACCCAGCCAACTGCCCAGCCAACCACCCACCCACCCAACCTCCCACCCAGCCTACCCAACAAAACTATGGCGCCAACTACAGAGCCAGTGCCCAGGCACCCCTTGCTAGGCCTTGCCCCGGGCACCTGTTGCCTTCCGCAGCCCCGGGCCAGGCCAGGCTGGGCCAGTCCGACCCCTCCAAACACAGCGCCGACACAGAGGGGAGCCAGAGGGCTCGGGGCCACAGGGAGGGCTGAGACCGTGCACAGCTCGATGCTGTGGAGTGGCGAGGCCCAGTTGATGCCAGGTTTGGTTCCCCCCGGGCTTTTCACCCCCCAGGAGGAGCTCTTCCACGTCAGTATCAACAGCATTCATGTTGACTCCCTGGACCAAAACCATTGAGGAATAAACTGGGAATAAACTTGGTTGAGCATGCAGTAATCTGTTCTTCCCTGGCTGTCCAGACACAACTTTGGTTCAGCATGGGCAAAATATGTGTTGCAGGATCCACAAAGACATTGTCTTTTGTAAGTCTTATTTAAAAGACATATTAAAAACCAGTTACGGTGTTAAGAGGAAAAAATAAATATCCAGAAGTCTGCTGTTAATCTTTAAAACACCCCATGTATATAAATGATGATCTTTGTTGACCACTTTGAGGCCTGCTGATTACAAGCGCAATACAGAAATTCAGCATTTCACCATTTCAGCAACTAATCTGAGTCCTCGAGCACTGACACGGGGAAAATACTACTCAAAACTCCCATTGACGTGCAGGGTTTGCTTCAGCTTCTTACAGAACTGGAGCTTCAGTTCTTCCAGAAACAGCTCTGGAAAGCTCCCACATTCCAGTATTTCCCAGTTTTTGATCTTCCACAGCACAGGCATGTCCTTTGGCAGTGCCAAGTATACAACAGCCCTGAGGAAAACCCAGGAGCAAACCCGGCTCTCAGGGGGGTTGCTGCAAAGAGCACAGCCTCTCCTCAGGGCTGAACTGAACGGGGTGACTTCACAGCAGTTCGGCCAGTAGTTACTACAGGCACGGTCGGTAGGAAAGTGTGGCCAGAAGGGCTTCTGCCAAACTGGGAAAGGATGTACAACAACGTGGAAATCATGGGTATTCTCTTCTTTGGAGGGTTAAATTATCATTTCTGTTGATACCAGAATCTTGCTAAATGGAAGCATTTAGTACCTGGAAGAGATAGGTGGGGCTGGTTAAAGCTTCCAGCCTCCTGAGAGAGAGAGAGGCAGGTCTGGCTCCCTGGTGGAGGGGTTGAGGGCATCAGCATCCCAGCAGGGAGACATGAAATGCACCACCCACTTCTCTCCCCTCCTCCTGACTGCTGAAGGTGCCTCATGAGGACAGCAGTGAGGCTGGGCACCCAACTGTGAGGTCATCTGAGCTGTGAATGACTGTTTCTGATGTCAGGCATGTGTTCCTTGCCTGACCATCACAAAGGGCCCCAGTTAGAACCAAGACAGAGGACAGTGCAGCTCCAGAGAGGCCCAGGAAGAGCTCAGAGCATCCTGCCTCTTGGCTTGGATGTCAGTCCTACCGAACTGCAGAAAAAAAATTAACAAAAATAAAAGTCCTCTCCCCTTACATCACAAAGAAAAGAGAGAAGCATTTGAAAAGATGGAATTGAACTAGTCAGCATGATCCTGCTAATTTCTAGGCGCTGATTTTCACAAAGGAGATGAGAGTAGGAGTAGGAATGAATTTGTCATGGACTTCATGTACCATCTACAGAACAGCATTTGGCATCTCTTGCTCATATGTCAAATGCGTGCCTCCACGGTATTCCAGATACAGTTTCTGATTTTATTTTTTTTTAAGAAGAATTTAATGCTGACTTAACAAAAGCAATAAATAGATCATATCTTTCCAAGGCAAATCATGAAGATACCGATAGAGAAGTACTATCAAGCTGCTTAAATCCTACCATAGCTGAATAATGGCAAAAATGATTCTCAAGATCTTGGCCTCTCTGCCTGCATTTCAAGGAATCAGCTGTAGTGTTGGGGGCATCTGGTTTGCAGCTGTCAATCATTTTTGCAATTTCAAACTTGATCTCTCGCGTTTGGCAACAGAGGTAGAATCTTGTGAATCTGTAAATCCAAGCTCAACACCTTTCATAGTATCACCTTACCTCATAAAATCAATTATTTACCAAAACCAAATCATTACCTAATACCAACATCCCCGGACAATTTCAGAATTGGGCTGACATAATATACATGTCTGTATATTGTGTACAAGAGACTTAAAGGACAATGCAAATCTTTATGGTGGTATGCTTATATGCAGCTTCTGAGAAATTCTGATAAAATAGTAAGGAAGGTTTTGGCACTGCCATCAGCAGCAGCAAATATCAGAGAATTAAACAAAATTAAAATAATTTTATGGCCTCAAATACTATGTGCACTTGTCACAGAATTCTTCCATCAATCTCTGGGCATAAAGTGAAGAAACAGTAAATGGTATCTAGGGAAGGCACTGCTGTACAATATATTGCATTGGTGAATTTCACCTCATCTCAGAATTTAACTTTTCAACAAAGTAGCTGTTTGCCAGAGCCATGTGGATATTGTCAAACAGCACAGGTGGCACAGTAACTGTGTACCAGATGAATCTCAGGCTCTTGTAAGTCTAACCTCAAGTGTGCAGTGAGTTGAGAAGGCCTTAAAGAGTGTTTTTAGACCTCCCAAATTCATCCTACAATGAGGCATTGGTGCAAAGTGAATTTTTCTCCCTCTAGCTGGAAGACAAATGCTACAAATTCTACCACATCTGCTGAATATAAGCAAGAGGTTTCAATCCGAACATTGCTACCAGGTAGCTTAAAAAATAGCCTGGAAAATGCTAAGCACATAGGACCTCTACAGGCTGATATGTCCATATCCAATAGTAAAAATCCCTTGTTGGACATGCATTCTCTGGCACCACATGGATTTCCAAAAAGTCAGTGGTATAACGGCTTTGACTAGTTTTGATAGCCAGAAAAAGTTGCTCAGTCTTTCAGAACACCAACTTTTATTTTAAAGGTGATTATTACACTCTTACTGAGTGTCACAAAAACATCTTTCTATTATTTCCCATAATGGCACAAGCTCTGGCCATATTTCAATACCTGGGTTTAAGTCAGGTTTCAGAACAGATCTTTTAAAAATTATGAAGAGAGAGGGAGAAACAAATAGTATGCTATTTGTAATTACATTAGATATTCACAGTCCTTACAGGAATATTGTGCTTTACAATCCTTATGATTTACCAGGAGAATCAGCCAAGATTCAGAATACTTCACAACTCACTATCTTCCTCAGGCTTTGGCTTTAAGGTGCTGCTGGTAATGACACCACCTCAAACAATGAAAGTTGGATGCACTAATCATGTCCTGTTTGGCACCTGGCATGACATTGTGACAATAGATACCATATCCAAAGTCTTACGCGCTTCAGAGATAAGAGCTCAAAGGGATCGTTATATTTCAGTGGTTTTACAGCTACTGCTGTTCACTCATGAGAGGAGATACTTACCCAAGGCCTGAGGATACCCTGAAGAGCCTCAAAGGATTATAAAGAGGCCGTTAACATATTACATATAAAATGATCACAACCCTCCACTCTTGAATGTGACACTGACTTTGATCATTTCTGCTTCTCGTGGTCATTTCAGACAATTGAAAACACTTCTTGTACTATCTTAATATTCCAAACTCTACGGGCAAATCTTATCCTGCTGAAAA